ATTAAATTATACTACAAAAATTAAAAAAATTATCGATGAGTCTGAGTGTCAGCCTTTTCTTTGAACGTGCTTTTTTATTTTTCAATGTTTATGTTCATGATAGTGCGTTACTTTTTTGTTGTTATTATTAACTATTTTTAAATCTTACGTGACATGCTGTTGTGGCTGGATAAAAGTTTGTGATTATTTTTCAAACACCTTCGTTTGGTAGGTAGGAATGTAGCTATAAACAAGTACGTACTAGTAATATTAGTTATTTTGTTATTAGTTTATTATTAGTACCTATGTATTATGTATTACCAGTTAAATAGTAAAATAAATACATATAATGATAAATTAACTGTGGATTATTTCATTTACGTTGCGTTACGTGGCTTTCGTGTGGGTAGCTCGCTGTTTATTCAAAAATTAACAAAGTAGCTCAACACGTTGAGAGGTTGGCGACCACATGTGTAGATCTTAATGTGTACCTCTCTGCTCTTAAAATATCAATTGTTGTACCAGTATTTAAAAAAGGAGAAATAACCGAAATTACAATTATCACTTCTTAGCCATCTTTTAAACATTTTTGAAAAAATTATTAAGTGGCTTACATATTACTTAAATAAATTTATTATACTTTCAAGTTATCGGTCTGGATTTAGGGAAAACATCTCCACGGAAGATGCGATTCTTTCATTAATATCAAAAGTTACTATCCTCTACAATTATTTAAAAGTTATTTAACATCAAGATGTCATTACAAGAGATATAGGTCAAACTTCTAAATAGTTATTTTTAAAATTTTCAACAATTAAAAAATTAATTAATACATTTACTTTTCATAGTACTATTAACAATATGGAATTTCAGCAACATAAATGGAATTAATAAACAGATTGAATAATTCAAAATTAATTTTCAAATTAAACTTATAAGTAAAAAAAAGGTAGAAATGTGAATACTAATTGGATTTTTTCAATGACATTAAAAACTTACCACTATTGCAGTTTAGGCACTTGTTTTTAGGTCAACGATTCAATTATAAATAAATGAGAGAGAATTTGATTTTAGACACACCAAATGCCAGATTTATAAATACATTTCCACAATACCCGAAACCACCCTCTCTTAGTAATGTTGCGTGCGTTGACAATTAGACTTTAAATCATTTTAATGCAAATCAATCTATTTAAACACGACAGCACTCGTTCAAAATAACATTTTTAAAAGATGATTTTTAAAATTTTACACCCTATGCACCCCCTCATAAGTAAATGTTAACCCCAAAAACAGAATAAGTGCAGGTTAAGGACTCCTATTATTGTTAATATTTGTCGTTATTATGTAAATTCCTGCGATATTTTTTTATTATCCTTTTTGCCTATAGCCTATTAGGGCACCAATAAAGTTTATAAAATCTACTTTTTACATAATAATAATCATCATTAACTTGCAATTCATTAGCATCTACATTTACCTCAAAAGTTCTCCAAAAAGTTATCTTGTTTAACACAAATCAACAGAAACACCAAAAAATAAAAACAAGTTTAACAAACGCTTTGAGAAACCGCGAACATTTTTCTAAACATGCACGCTACTGTACAAAGAACAACTGAAAGGCAGCTAGGCCAGTGTTGCTAGATGAAAATTATTTGGAACAGTAGATGGGTGGGACAAAAGAGTAGATCATTGAAACTGAACAGTATATTTTAATACAGGGGGAAATAATTAGAATTTGCAGTATAAAAAAATAAACAAAAATTATATAAGAAATGAAAAATAAACATTTTTGGCTTTATTATCCAAATTAGAAATTAAACCAAAAATAAAATAAAATTTTTAAAACTGAATGCCAGGAAACAAAAAAAATAAATGAAAAATAATAGGTACCCATTTCTTTCAGATCAGTCTGAATCAGATAATTCAAATATATTGTGTTTGTCATGCATATTATTCTTATTAATTTTTCGTTACATTTTAAATCAAAACATGATGATTCTAATTCCTTCGTAATAATATGTATGTCTTGTTTAGTTTGTTGGTTATCTTCCTGAATTTTTTGCATTTTCCTCTAAACTTTTTGTTTATCTAATCTAATTCGGTCATCCATCTCTTTCATACTCTTTTTCAAACCCTCTCTTAGGCTTTTTTTCATTCTGTTTTCCATTATCTTATTCTTTTTTCTGACACTCAAAAATGCATCTGTTATTCTCTTATACATTCTTTTCTCCCTTCTTTTATTATTTGTTTTCATTTTCTTCAGTTCCCCTGCAATAACATCGCCATCAAATTTGGTCCATATTCCACTAGAAACTCTAGTTCCCATCATGATTCCACTAGGTTGCTCTCCAACTGAATTTTCGTACTGCCCATTTGACACATTTGTATAAATTTTCGTGTCCTGACCATCATCAGACTCATTCCAAATCAAATTGCCTAGACTCTTATCATTTTCCCTATCTTGCACACCCTGTTCTAAATATTAAACCCTAAATTCACCTGCTTCATCCTTCTGCTCCTGATCTCCATTTGCCAACCTACTATCCCTACCTACTTTTTTCCAGTTCTCAAAACCATTTCATCCGATATTATATCAAAAGAACTTAGTTTCAAATTATTTTATAAAAAATTTAATGAAATATTTCAATAATATCATTATGTTATTCTCAGAAAACACAATTTGATGTTCCCAGAAACAAATTAAATCTTGGGGTGAGAAATACAATAAGAAAATTTAATGTGTTTATTAAAATAATCTTTATTCTTCCTTTAACAAATAAAAAAATCCAGCCCCACGTTGGGCGCCAATTTGGTATGGTATTTTAAAATGAGAATTTCATGAATTAAAAAAAATATTTTTTTAAGATGAGGTATCACCTTTAAATTTTCACTAATTTTCAAAGATCGCAAGAAATTGTACAATGAACTCCTTCTCTCAGGGAGGTGTAAGGTACCAATATTAATCAAACTGCACTCCATTCTTAGTCCGGTCGTATAATTAAATAGTAAATATAAAAATGTGTATCTGGATTGTACTTTTAATTGTGGAGCCGACTGTCCGTCTGGCTTGAGCGCGAAGTGCAGTGAGAGGGATGAACAATAGATCACCTGATGATCGGGAGATGCATTTTTTGGCAGTCAGTGGCCGTTGAACTGTGACACTGTCACACATAGTTCCGGTCTAACGTAATATTTTTAGTAGTCGGCATTTTTAATACGACAATTTTCTGTTGACAAGTATTAGGTCAAGGACCTAAATTATAAAATTGTTTTTGGTGTTGTGTTCTACGATAATATTATTAATAAACCTTAACGTTTTATTTCTTTTGTTTGATTGGGTAACCTTCTTCGGCTTCTACGAACCACCCCGAAGAATCAGCATATCTCGGCGCTCTACAGAGGGTTCTAGGACGCCACTGATAATAACGAAACAAAGAATTAAAAAAAATTACTAAGAATAATTTTCCTTCTAGTATGGATTAATTTAACTTTTAAGTTTTTTTACTTGTAATAAAACCCCGTTCACTGGACTATTGTGTTCGTTGGCAGTAAGGTTGAAGATAATATATAGTCCTTTACCAAGAAACACAGTAAAAAAATGAATTCTCTGTTACAGGATTTTATTTTGGCAACATGTAAGTAGAACATACAACATTAGAAAGTATAACATTAACATAACGGAATATGCATCTCATATAAATAAATTCTAGCTACTGATTCTATGAAAAAAATGTCTTAACTAACTAATGAAATTTATGAAAGGAGAAGTAGAAAATGAAGAAAGAATATCACTTGCAACTGCAGGATTCATTAATTCTAAACAAAAACATTACAATTTTCATGGAAACAACAACAATACAAATATTTAACAACATGTGTTACTTTCCTAAAAATGTTAAATAAAATATTTAATATCATAACATTATTCTTATTATATTAGTTCGTTATTGTTAAAGGTAAATGCATTGAAAATGCAATATAGAATGTTCATATAAGCCTGCAACGCTTCGTCAACCATAAACAACGCAACTAGAACAGTTTATGGTTCAAAATACAAAGGGAATAGATTATTCAAAATACGCAAATACAACAGACAGTTCATTTAAACGCACCACAGCCCGTGCGATACTGTTGCATATCCGAGAGACAGCAGAAGCTTATGCATCAAACAGTATGGCGCATAATTAGCGAAGATTTTATCTGACCACCATAGTTCACTTTGCTAATTAACGTTAAGCCCACTTCATTGTTTCATAATGTTTGAATATCTGATGAAATTTATGTTCCGAAAATTGCAGTATCGGTAATAAAACATTTACGAATAATTTGAATATTATCTGGCTAATGGAGATACATACTTACTTATACATTTTGCATATATTAAGATGGATCTATTGGAATGAAAGAAGGAACGAAGGAATATTTAAATAAAGAATTGTTTCTATTTTTATTTACAGGTTATCAATTACCTTATTTTTATATGCACTGATGTATAATATATTTTTTATTTTTTATTTTTTAAATATAATTTAACAATAAAACTGACACTCAAAGTTTTTTCAAATTATGGTTTGAAATGTTGTAAAATTTTCTTACCGAATACAACGCAAGCATAAATTATTCCTGGAAATTTTCTTTCGGGCACGAATATTTTAGGAAAATTATCGTACCATCAAGAAAATTTTTGGAAATAAATTAAGCTCTTGTGGTATTATAAGTGAAAATTCAAGTTGTATTAAAATTCAAACAGTCTGCTTGAATGGAACTTAATACTCCTTTAATAGTTTAGGCTGTAAAAATTAACGAATAATGCAGTTTTTGGCAAAATCATGGAAAATATAGAACCTAATAGGATAATACGTTCTTCCATTTAGATTATAATTAAAATATATACACTTTGTATCCTATTGGTATTGTTCGGAACGCTTAATTTAAATTAATTTTGTGTTCTAATTAGGGATTATTCCTGAACCCTTTTTCTTTTTTTTTTAATGTACATTAAAGAAACAATTCTGTTGTATTTTAATAATTTATTGCTGCAAAAATACAAGTATAATAAATGAAATTAACACTAGTATGAAAAATTATCTTCTGTTTCATCATTACATGGTTTTTCTTTGGCTTTTACAAAGTCGTTGATAAATTTTACTAAACTGGGTGACATTTCACAATTGGCCTTCAATGTTTGATCGAAACAAAGAGCTGAACTTAAAAATTTTCTAAAAGAGATAGATTAGTTAGTTTTTTCGAAAAGATTTTTAAAGAAATAATTTGTTTTATATGATTTTAATATTTTTATATTCATTGTCACGTTTTGTTAGCAATAAAATAAAGTTAAATTTGATACTAAGCCACGCTACAATGGCATAAAAATGTATATTGAAATCTCTGTTAAAAACACGTTAATAACTTATGATTCTAATGTAGCAATTGTAGACGTACAAACATTTACCTGCAAAATTCTTTCTTAGATTGAGGTATTCCGCCATTGTCTTCTTGATTGATCGATTGTGGGCCTTTAGCATCTAGTAAACATTGCATATATGACAATTGTACATCAAAATCTTCGAAACGAATCATGCATATAGGAATTTCAGCTGTTAAAAGAGTTATGTATTAGAAAAAAATATATATTTTTATAATATAATAATGAAAATAAATGTTAAATTTCAAATTTATAGAAATATGATAAAAGTAAGATAAAAGATAAACCTAGAACTAGAATAATTGAAATTGTGTCTAATATAAAAAAAGTAGTAAATGAATATAAAAAAACTTATTATTTAAAGCTAAACATAAATATGGTAGAAAAAAGTTTGAATCCAAAATCATTATCATTGACTACTTCCATTGAGAAACTTTATTAACTTCAAGAAATTCTAGATTGTAATTCATGTTCATGTTCAAGGTAAAACTCTAGAGTTGGTGCATACTTCGGAAAATAATAATGAGGATTGTAAAGTTGTTGTAAAGTTATGTAAAAGGGAATATTTATTATCCATGTCTTAATGATATAATTGGATTTCAAAAACAATTAAAAGTTTTAGTCCGTTAATAAATGAGGACCAGTATAATTACAAGATGACTGTTATAAAGGGTTTAGTTATAAAAACTAAAATACTTTATTATCGGAATCAGATAAAAATATAGAATCAAATTATTTAATGAGGTATAATAATTATAATAATAATAATAATAGTAATTTATAACAAATATACCACTAGTTTATTAGGGAAATCAAAGAATCATTTATACAGTGTGGAAAAGCCAAATGGAATAAATTCATTATTTCGATTACTGTACATATTTATACAAAATCCCAAAACACGTCAAATTTAAATTATAAATTGACATTCTTTAAAGTGAAAATGTGATCCCTACCTTCAACCTCCTTTAAGTAACAGTTACAACCCCTAATTTTTTAAATGGGAGTATTAGCTTGTGATATATCGTTTGAAAGGTCTCTTCATTCTCTATCCAAAAATGTTATTGTTTTTAAATTTATTGCAAAAATTAACATAAAAAAAATAAAATCATCTTATTACCGAAATTCTCTAGACAACCTACACTACTATTTCTTGTTTCAGTCTTTATAATAAGACAGTACCTAAGCAAAAACCATATCAGTGTTCTTTTTTAATATCAATTTAAAAAATCCTTCAAAAAACTATCATAGCAATGTTAGTTTGTTTAAAATGCCTTAGCAAATTGATTTGTAATAATTATAACTGCAGGATATTGTCAATATTATAATTGTCGTTTGAATTTCATAAAAATGGTTAGACTAACAGAAATGCATAAAATAACAGTTTTACAGATGATTGGTTACGGAGATAACACCCGAACACAAATGAAAGTTGCTCGCCTATTTCATGAAAAATTTCTGAATTTGCCGCCTATATCACAAGGTACAATTAGTAAAATAGAGAAGCAGTTTCGCGAATTTGGACATGTAAAGCAGATGAAAAAAAAAAACAGCTGCCAATGCACTGAGTGATGATATCAAATTAGATATGATGCTTGAGTTTGAGCAAAACCCACATACATCGAGTAGACAAGCATCTGCAACATTTAATGTCAGCCATACATCGATACTAAACATAATAAATGAAAATAAAATGCATCCCTATAAAATGATACCGACTCAGGAACTCATGGAAGACGATTTTAATAGGAGAACAAATTTGTGCGAACAAATGATGGAAATGTTGAATAACAATACCATCCAATTAGAAAACGTTATGTTTTCTGATGAATGCACTTTTTCCGTTAACGGTCATGCTAATCGTCAAAATTGCCGCTACTGGTCAACGGAAAATCCTCATTGGATGAGAGAGGTCCATACACAATACGTTGAAAAGGTTAATGTTTGGGCAGGGATTGTTGAAAACCATATTATTGTCCCTTTTTCATTGAGGAGAATTTGAATGGCGATAATTATTTAGCACAAAATGATGTGGTGCCAAGTTTGGCAAATTTATTTCCTGATCCAGGAAACCCTCAAGTTTCAGCAAATACCATATGGTTCCAGCAAGATGGAGCACCTCCACATTACCAAATCAATGTCCGCCAGTACCTCAACTTAACATTTCCAAATCGCTGGATAGGGAGGCTAGGATTAATAGAATGGCCAGCAAGATCACCTGATCTTACCCCACTAGACATTTTTTATGAGGCTATGTAAAAAATATTGTTTACAAAACTAAACCACGTGATTTAGATGACTTAAGAGAACGAATAATGCTTGAGATTAGATCGGTCACGCCTGATATGTTAATTAACGTTAGAAGACATTTTTATTCAAGAATAGGATGTTGCCAAGACGTTCGCGGTGAGCATTTTGAACATCTACTTCATTGACATTCATATTTTTTACGTTATGAACAATTAAATATTACATATTGAGTGTATTGTAACAAATTTCGGTTATCAGTTATTTTTTTTTAAGTTAATTTTTGTAATAAATTTAAAAACAATAACATTTTTGGAGAGAGAATGAAGAGACCTTTCAAACGATATATCACAAGCCTATACTTCCCATTTAAAAAATTAGGGGTTATAACTGTTACTCAAAGGGGGTTGAAGGTAGGGATCACATATTCACTTTAAAGAATGTCAATTTATAATTTAAATTTGACGTGTTTCGGGATTTTCTATAAATATGTACAGTAATCGAAATAATGAATTTATTCCATTTGGCTTTTCCACACTGTATAAAATGGTTTAGAATTTAAAAAGTTAGGAATGGTGTCTGACTACTAATAAAGAAAATTACACAGAAAAAAAAACAGTGGGAAATATTTATTTACAAGAAAATGTATGGGACTAATTAAAAAAAAAAAATGAAATAAATTGGGTACAGATACTCTAAATTTGGAATATAAGGGTAACATAATTTGCACATACGTATATTACGTATCATTTTGACTACGCAGATTGTAATAATGATAATTTATCGATTTTATGACAATTTAATTAATTATAGACGTTATCGTTCACTGAACGGCTTCCAATACACGATGGCAAGTAAATACGAAAACTGCAGAGAGTTGGTATTGGACAAGCATGAGAAGAATAATTTTGTCGTTACAAGTTTGTACGGCCGTTGTAACGTTGGCCATTTGATTGGGTTGGCCATGGTATTTTATTAGAAAAGATAAAAGATTACGTAATGGGACGATAATTAATAACAAGTTTTGGGTCACCTTTTTTGAAGACAGGAACTATTTTTCCTGTTTTCATGTAGTCTGGAAAATCACCATTACAGAATGAAAGGTTAAATAGAAAAGTCAATGGAGATATTATAAAAGGAACAACTTTTTTTATTAGAAAGGCAGGTACTTCATCGAAACCGCAAGATTTTTTATTTTTTATTTAATTAATTAAGAGTTCTAATAATTCACCTTGCGTATGAGGGAATAATTGTATCGAGTTTTGTGTGACAGTTGCACTATTGGACTTAATTCTGTTTATAGTTTTGGGGATATTTGACACATCAAATGGAGCATTCATAAAAAAAGTATTAAAAGTATTAGCCACCTCTGAAGGATAATCAATTAAATCTCCTTGATTGGTTAATATTTAAATTTTTTTTTTCTGAATTCGTTATTTTTATTTTCAGTAAAATCTGTTATAAGTTTCCAAGCACTTTTAGTGGGATTTTCAGACGACGTAATTATATTTTGATAATGCTTTTTTCTTGTTGACTTTAGAAGATGTACATGTCGCTTTTTTGTATAATATTCTCGAAGTTCAGGATACATTCTTGATAATACGTGCAAATTTTTTAAGTTACTACTTGACTGTCGAACCACATCGGTAACCCATTTATTTTTATTAGTTATTGGTATTTGTTTTTTTACTAATGGAAAACTAATGCTAAAATGATGCATAAAGATGTTTATAAATGCGCTAAAAGCTAGATTAGTATCAGAGAGAATATATATACACTATTGGACAAAAGTGAAGCAACTTTTATAGTAAAATAAAATATTTAATTATTTAAAATAAAATGAGCAACCATGGAAATTAAAAATAATTTAATTTAAGTGGTCATAGTAGGCTGCAGTCATATGTGACATTTGATTGTTTGCAAATGTCAAATAAGTTAGTATGTAATAATTTATTTTAACTAGACCTTTTATTATCGCGACAAAAGTATAGCAACTCTTTGATTTGGTTTACAGGAAAAGGGTTTATGATACAGGTAAAGTTCTAAAATGACGTTTTTCAATTTAATTAAGCTTAATAGCTCTAATACTTACAGAATTAAATATGCCAAAAGGAAAACGAATCTGTACGGAGGTACAATAAATGGTCGTAAACGCCTTTTTAGAAGGGAAGAGTAAGATTGCGATTTCCAAACAGTTCGACTTGCCCAAATATAGTGTCTCAAAAATAATTTCACGTTATAATGAAAGAGGACATGTAGAAAAAATGCCGAAATCAGGAAGGCCCAGGAAAACTAGATTTTGGATGGATAGGAGAATCAAAAGAATTTCTCAAAGAGATCCGTGGTTGTCAGGACCAAGGATAATTGCTGAAATTCCCGAACTGGAAGTCAGTGCGAGGACTGTTCAACGACGATTAGTTGAGGCGAAACTTTATAGCAGACGTCCTGCCAAGAAACCGTTGGTTTCTGAAAGAAATCGCCGTGCCAGACTTGAATTTGCGCAACATTTGAACTGGACAGTGCAAGATTGGGGAAAAGTATTGTTTAGCGACGAAAGTCGTTATAAAATTTTTAATTCTGATGGAATGAAGCGTGTCAGGCGTCCGGTTAATATGAGATTTCACCCAAAGTATGTTACGCCAACAATAAAGCACGGACAAGGTAGTGTATTTGTATGGGGTTGTTTTTCGTGGAGCAGAGTAGGCCCACTACATTTTATAGACGGAATTATGGATCGCTTCGTCTACAGAGACATACTCCAAAACGTTATGTTTCCCTATGCTCAGCGGGAGATACCCTTGCATTTTATATTCCAACAGGACAACGATCCGAAACATTCGTCTCGCCTTGTTCAGGAATGCTTTCAGGAGAACAATGTCCAGGTCCTTAGGTGGCCGGCCCAATCACCAGACCTCAACCCCATTGAGAACCTTTGGGAAGAGGTTGAACGTCGTATTCGGACTACAAGATTCCCAAATAAACAGTCCTTAATTGATAAAATTAATGAAGTTTGGATTAATATGCCGGATATTACTATCCAAAACTTAATTTCATCAATGCCGCGCCGTTGCCAAAAAGTTATATCTAATAATGGATATCCTATTAATTATTAAGAATTTGTTCTTATTTTGTTTTAACCCTTCAACCATATTTGTGATTTTTCAGTTGTTAAATGAAATACAAAATTTTTTCAAAAAAGTTGTTATACTTTTGTCGCAATAATAAAGGGTATTGTTGAAATAAATTATTACATATTAACTTATTTGACATTTGCAAACAATCCCACAATTATGACCACTTAAACTACATAAATTTTGATTCTCACAGTTGATCGTGTTATTTTAAATAATTAAATATTTGATTTTATCATAAAAGTTGCTTCACTTTTGTCCAATAGTGTATATGGTTCCAATCTTCTGAAATAAGATTAATAATAAAATTATTTATCGCCGTATCAGTAAAAAACCTTTTCTGACAAAAACTAGGCGAGACAGCTGTTTCAAGTTTGAGTTCAACCATCACAGTTTTATGATCTGATACACTTTTGTCACATACACATGTTAAACCGGGATTAGCAAAATTTACAAAGAAATTGTCGATTGTTGTTAGGATGTTTTCTGTTACCCTAGTGGGCCATTTTACAAGATTAGTATTAATATTAAATGTTGATAAAACGTTTAATAATTTGACATGATCATTAGTTAATAGTCTCGTATCAATATTAAAATCACCACAAACAATGATAATAAAATTAGGTTTATAAATACAATTTAAAATATTATTTAGATGTTCTAAAAAAATGTTTAAATTACTCGAGGGTGAACGGTAGCAATTTAATAACAAAAGTGTATTATTACCATCTTTAAATGTAGAGTAACACAATTCTGATACCTTATCGATACAAAATTGTTTGATTTCTATAGCACTATTCACACATTTTACACTGTTCCTTACCCATATTCCTACTCCTCCACCCCTTAGAAAGGCACTTCGAAAGTAACTGCTTACCAAAACAAAAATTTCTAGATGAATTTGATTTATAGATTCATTGGTTTCCCACTCAGTTAAACAAAGAATGTCAACACTTTTAAAATTAAGAAGGATATCACATATTTTGTACTCATTTATACTTTGCACATTTAGTAACAATAACTTTGGATCAAAAATCATCTCTGGGATTGGGGATTTCTCCGGAGATATAAAAAATTATTAACAAATTTACCATCAGGCTGGTAGAAGCTGGTAAAAGCCCACCAAATGGCCACTTCAAAAAACTTTAAACCTGCAGGACATTGACAATCTTGGAAGATGAATGTCTGTTTGTAGACACCCCTCAGCGTCAACCAGCAAGTTCTTGATGTATTGATAACCTGCGGGACTTTGATGAGCTATGAAAATGCAGCTGTCGCTACACATCTCTCAGCGGCAACCAGCAGGTTTTGTCAATTTAAGATTCAGGTTGTGTACACCCCTAGAGGATGCACAATAGGCCTTATATGTCCTAAGTGCTGTAGAAGTATTCACCTTTCCCACTATACAGATAAAGATAATTTATATTGTTAAATGAAACTAGTGTAGGATGTTTCTATAAAATTAGAATATCCATTTAGATAAAAAATATTTTGTGGTGCTATTTATAAAATTAATTTTATTCAGTAATCAAGAAAACTTTGTTCTGTATAATAAATAATATTTTTATCAAGATTATCGGTTTTTTTTTTATATTTTATGGCTTAGATATCCACAAGTTTGTGATTTGATTTTTATTAATATAAAATTGTTTAGTTTTCTTAATATTATTTAACAATATGGAAACTCAACTTTACAATACAAAAAAAGTGTTTAAAACCTTTAATATAATATCGTGTCTAAAAGTAAAATATATCATTCTTTTTTTTTGTTTCTAAATATCCAAATAATGAAATTTTATTTAAAACACGTTTTGGCCAGAACGAGTTTATTCAGTCCACACTTGAAAATGCGCTATTCGAAGTCCTATTTAAATCCAGCTGAGCAATCCTTATAACGATATATATCATTGGTCATATTGCGGAAAACGCGCCGTGTTGCGAGATTTACGACGTTCAATAGCTATCCAGGATCGAAATGCATTTTTATTGGATCATTAGTGTTAATGAATCTATAAATATTTAACGATCGTTCTTGCAACTGGCTGTTAGTGTTTTAAAACATATTAAAAACACAGCATATATAGAAAATAGAAGTAAAGGATTTGTAAAAAGGCAAACCTCACTAACACTAATTTAATTACATTTTACTGCCTAAACTCTTTTTTACCATGTTATGAGGCTGCCAGCTTGATTAATAAATAAATAAATCTATAAAAAAAAAATATAATATACTTGCCTTGCAATATCTTCTGATCATCGTACATAAAATTGACCATTGATTTTGCCAACTCTAAAGCAAAGCGCGGAAACCACTTTTGTTCATCGGGTAAGCATTTTCTAGCCTCATCTTTTGCTTTAACACTACAGTCAACAATATTTTTAATGAAATCATCTTTGGATAGTAAGAATAACTGTTTTTTTGAGAAACATGTTGTCATATTTTTAAAGGTTATCTGGAAATAAACAAAATTTTCTTTCTAAAATATTGAAACGAGAAACCGCTAATAGAAGATAATAAAAAGGAGAAGAAGAAGGTAAGGAAAGGTGGAGAAATGTACGGAAAACAAAAGTTAAGGTACCAACGAATCCATCAACTGTAGAAAAGGAAAAGGCAAAAACGAAAAAAAACTTAATAACCGAAACCACATTAATTTTGGTTATGCAACTAAAAAAAGCAGAGTATTCAATAGAAGTAGTAACCAAAGAAGGTGGTAGAGTCATATCTCACTCTTTTAAAAATACCTTATAAGAGAGGAGGATAATATTATTGGTCGATAAAACTGTGTCTGGCAGGAAATACAACAGAATATTTAATTTTTTTTATTTCATCTTCTCAGGCATCCTTCTGCTCTCTTCGGAGGGGTTTAGGTAGATTTTTCACAATCAGGGATTTTCTTAATCAGGCGTGGTATCCAGCCTGATTTTCCTCCTCCAGGGGTTCACATAGCAGCGCTAAAGCTCAGATGGCTTATTATGCCACTATTTGAATATCCTACTTCTATCCACGCGTTCAAGGTATGTATTCTTCCATTGATTTTATAGTCCAAGAGGGTTTCGAGCTACAAGAAGTGGTAGGGCATGTGCTTATCCCACACTGATGCCCTTATTCTAGCAAGATAACGTTAAGAGTCTCAAATGAGCTAATTTTGATGCCTTATCCTGACCTAAATGTTCATTAGACTTATTCGCCTATTGGACATGTGTATGATATGATAAGGAGAAGACTCAGTAATCTTCCTCGGATACCAGAGACCATTAAGCAAAAAGAAAATTGATCTTATCCATAGCATGCCTTGACCAGTAGCTAAATGTGTATATTAACGAGAAGGGGCGAATTATTATCAAACCAATTGTGTGTTATACTGCTGCTTTTGTACTAAAACTTTAATGAAATATTATTTAGTTATCAAATTATTAATTTCGATAATAGTTTCAAATTTTTAATGTATATAGTATTTACCTCTAATTTTTGAGAATCTTCATCTGATAAACCATTATCTTTACAACTTTTTATCACCTTATTTACAAGCTCTGTAAACCTCGCTGTCATACCGATTAGTATTTGTCTGGGAATTCTCATACGTGCTGAAACATATTGTATAATTTTAATTTTCTTTTAGGAGATCAAAATTTTGAAGTTATGCTACTACTTATACTATATAGAACAATATCATAATTTCATAGTTAAAAAGTTATTTGTTTATTTATCTAATGTATGTTTTTTATTTACTTATTACGAATTCTATGTGTTAATGTATATTGGTTAACATATTTGTGAGTTTTTCTGTCACATGTTTATAGTAAAAAGACTATTTTAGTTCTTGTTTTGTGCACTTCCTGATTTTATTTTAATCCTTTGGTAGTGTGAAAAGCTGCCTCTTCATATTTGAAAAAGTTCTGTAAGATTTTTCTTGCTTTATACGTTTGATATTTGTGATTGGCTTACAGAGGTAGTCCTACTTTTTGAGTGTTAAAGTTTATAGAATTGTGGGATGTGATTGACTTAGATTACAGACTATTTGATACCAATGGTACAATTTTTGTGTAAAATAAAGGTGATTAATTAGTTTGTGATTGAGATGGTTGAGTGGATGGTGACCTAAAAATACTATTATTTAAAAAGTGTCTGATTCGACACAGTTGGCAGTTCTAGAGAGACCTACTGGATTAAAATCGACAAATAGTCAGGATAACAGTAGGTCTTTTAACCGAACATTGTCACCTAAGAACTTAACAGATCCTAAAGGCCAAATCAATGAGAGTGAGCTATGCGTTAACCTCATTGACTACAAGGCTGAAACGTGTCCCAGTGGAAACTCCTTTGTAAAGGATCATCTTACTCCCAAAGTTGTGCAGGTTCTATGAAGAAAAACAGGAATTATTAATTCATGTCCTGTACCATCTGTATTTGTATCTGTAACGTGTGAAGAATTAGTTACACCTAATCTGATAAGCACTTAGTAGCTCGTGAGCCAGATTTAATGTAGTTAACAACGTCGCCAAGAGGTGCTGTACCAGTGTGAGGGCCTGGCTAGTTTGAGGATTGTAACATCCAGTGAAGAAAAGGCAGAAGCATGTCAAAGCTACTAAGTCTAATAAAAAAAGACCAAGCTAAATGCCATATTTTAACTAACTGACCACAATAGATCCGAAAAGAATAGAATGCTTTCCAATACGCCTTGCAGAAGTGCGCGTGAAAACAAGAGAGAGCATTAGAGCGTGCAGGAAACGAGTAACATTAGCGATTCTGGTCATACATCCCTACTAACATCTACAACGCGGTATAATGCATTTCCGTTTTGATCTTATGCTAATTTTCTATAGTTTCCACATACACTTGTGCAAAGTGTATTATAAATATTCAGTGACTGACATTGTATAAACCAGTGGTCGCCAACCTGTCGATCGCGAGCTACCGGTAGCAATTCTGGTAGCTCTTACAACGATTTTAATTTAAAAAATACAAACTGCAAAAATCAGAGAAGCTTCCGAAAATTCCACAAAAAAATGTAATTGTCATAATATTAAACATAAACAGCGGCAACTTTGCGGTGAGCAATCTGCCGCTGACGCCATCAAGCTAGAATCGGCTAGAACCGATCAGCCGGACCAGCGCGTTAGTGTTCGAAAACGATCATGATTGCTTTGAACGGGACAAATACGCACGGTGCGGCGACATTGCGCTTAGTTTAAAACTGAACGCGTAACCAACGTCCAGCGGTTGGGTTAGTAGAGAACAACAAAAAATAATATTATGGCAAGCAGTTGTAAGAAGGTAAAGACATACCACTTTCATTCGGAATGGGAAGAACAATACTTTTTTACAAAAGTTAAAGATAAAAATGTGTGTTTGTTATGTAATACTTCGGTCTCCGTTGCTAAAAAAGAAAATATTGAGAGACATCATAAAACTGTACATTCTAATTTTGAAAAATCATTCCCACTACATTCTGCCGCCAGAAAGGAGAAACTGAATTAGTTAAAAAAGCAGTTAATTAGACAACAATCAATATTTTTAAGAACAGTCGACAAAAATAAGGCTGCAACTGAAGCATCGTACCGTTTGTCCCAGATAATTGCACAAAAAAAGAAACCTTATGAAGACGGAGAAATGATCAAACAGGCGTTTTTAGAAGCTGCTGATTCGTTATTTGCCAACTTTAGAAATAAAGACGAGATAGTTTCAGCTATAAAATCTATGCAACTCTCTGCTAATACAGTGATGAGACGTGTAGAAGTAATGAGCAATGATATTTTTTTACAGTTAAGAACTGACTTTGATAACTGTGTTTATTTTTCACTTCAACTGGATGAATCAACAGATGTTGTTGACACTGCCCAGATGGCCGTGTTCGTCAGGATGGTTTTTAGTGATTTTACGATTAAAGAAGAAGTTTATTCCACTGAAAGGACACACTACTGGACAGGAGTTGTTTTCTCAATTAAGAAATATTATTTCTTCCGAGAAAATTCCAATATCGAAAATGGTAGGCTTGACAACCGATGGCGCTCCAGGTATGGTGGGTTGTGGTAAGGGTCTGGTGGCGTTATGTCGTAAAGATGAAACTTTTCCGCAATTTCTCTGTTACCACTGCATTATCCATCAGCATTATGTGGAAATTTCCTGAAGCTAAACAACTTTATGAAACTGGTGGTAAAAATTGTGAACAATAATAAGAGCTCAAGCGTTACAAAGAAGATTATTCAAAACCTTGGCCGATGAAGTTGACTGTCAATACGGGGACCTACTCCTTCACTCTGAAGTCCAATGGTTAAGTAGAGGACGAGTGCTGAAACGTTTTAATGATGTCCTATCTGGCATAGTTTAATTTTTCAAACAACGCGATGAACCGACTCCGGAACTAGAAAATTCAATCTGGCTTAGAGATTTTGGTTTTCTCGTGGACATTACAGAGAAATTAAACGAACTTAATTTGCAGCTTCAGGGTAGAGACAAAGAACTAGCAGAAATGATTTCTGATATAAAAGCATTAATAAAAAAGCTGGAGTTTTGGGAACAAAACCTAATTAACGGCAATGCCAAGCATTTTCCTATTCTTTCAGAAAAAATATCTCAAAATCCATTAGAACCCTATGACAGCAAATATCATGTAGAAATAGTTTCTACCCTGAAGAATAACTTCAAAAATCGTTTTAAGGATTTCAACGAAATGGCTTTAGTAGCGAAGTTTGTTGTTTCACTCTTTATGGAAATTGATATCCAACAGTTTGCAACTTGTGCTATGCAGAACTTTGGCGAAGACATCGTTGCAACAGAAATGGAAGTAATTGAGTTTCAAAATGATTTAGCCTTAAAATCGTTAGTCTCAAGTACCAAATGTATCTGGCCTATTGTAAGTAAAGACAAATATTTAGTTCTATGCCGTGTTGCCTTGAAAGTGAAAGCATTATTCAGTTCAACCTATTTGTGTGAATCTTCTTTTTCCAATATAAGTTTATTAAGAACAAATATCGCAATCGACTTACAGTTGAACATTTGGATAATTGTATTCGAATGGCTGTATCAAATTATACTGCAAACATTAAAAAAATTATCAATAAGTCTGAGTGTCAGCCTTCTCATTGAACGTGCTTTTTTATTTTTCAATGTTTATGTTCATGATAGTGCGTTACTTTTTTGTTGTTATTATTAACTATTTTTAAATCTTACGTGACATGCCGTTGTGGCTGGATAAAAGTTTGTGTTTATTTTTCAAACACCTTTGTTTGGTAGGTAGGAATGTAGCTATGAACAAGTACGTACTAGTAATATTAGTTATTTTGTTATTAGTTTATTATTAGTACCTATGTATTATGTATTACCAGTTAAATAGTAAAATAAATACATATAATGATAAATTAACTGTGGATTATTTCATTTGCGTTGCGTTACGTGGCTTCCGTGTGGGTAGCTCGCTGTTTATTCCAAAATTAACAAAGTAGCTCAACACATTGAGAGGTTGGCGACCACTGGTATAGACCATGGCATGTCTACAGCATGACCTGTTAGTTTTAAAACATGTTTCGTGGATAAACGTTAAGTATCTTTGAGATGTTTATAAGTCGTTCTTTTTCTGTATCATCTTTATTTATTGTAATAATTGTTTTTAATTTTTTACTAGACAATTTACGTATTATAATGATGTAAAGAGTATATACATTCTTTTTTTTGTTAACTTGATGCAAAAATAACATTTTTGTTGTTTCCATTCCAACTATGTTGCCATTTATTTTTGTGTTATTTATTGCCAACAATATTTTTGCCAGTTTTTACAAAACGTACTATGCGTATTGACAACATTGGAGTAAGTAGTATTTAACTATGCATTGTCTGCAGTTGTGTGCTAATTATTTACATTTATCTTGCGATTTATGCCTCGTCCGATACAGATATTTTATTGAAATTATTAAATCCAAATTAAAAATATTTCTTATTATATGTAGAAAAAAAAATATATATATGTCCAAAATACTAACCTTTGCCTTTTTCTCCTTCATTTGAAATAAATGCTGCAGCTAAAAATAAATAATAAACATCTCTAACTGGTATTTATTAAAATATGGTTTTGTTAAACAATATTTTTTGTCTTTTTTTGCCACTTTGGATAAAAAAAGATGCAATCGTACGGCATCCTGTAAGTAGCTTCAGGATCGGATTTTAACTTATTGATGAGATTTAGTTTATAATAATTATTGTAAATATCTTAATAATCTATTTATTGCATTGATTGTTAAAAATCACATCCACAGCAGGATATTGCTAACTTAACAATATTTTTGGCTCCACACTTCTCTGCCGAAGTGTTTTTTTTTTATTTAAAAATATTTCTAATTGGATATTTTTACAAAATGTTGATAGGTATTTATAATATATAATTTTATAAAGAAATACAGTGAAACTTCTGTTAACGGACACCTGTCCACAATGGAAACCTCTATTGAACATACAGTTTTTAGGTCATAATATGTAGGTAAATGAGGTAGGACACCCTGGAACAACTCTTAATAACGACTCTGGATAAAATTTACCTTTATGTTTTCTATGAAATTCTTATAATTTTACCTGCCAACAACAGACAATAAAGGCTCGAGAACATGGGAATTCCAAATAACTTATTGTAGGCATAAAATAAGTAGGTAGGTATTTATAGTCATAAAACTAGAAAATTAGGTACTTCGTTCCGTCCGTTTCCCACCTTTTAAATATTATTATTTAAGAAACTAGTGTAATACTTAAATGTGCATGTAATTAAATTTTATAACTTTTTGCAACTTTTTTTACAATTAATTTTTTCTACCTGGTAGTGTACGAATTTTTCTGGTTAGTCTTTCTCTTGTTTGCCTGTAACTGTTTTGTCCAACCGTGTGTACATTTCCTAATATTTAATTTTCTGACAGATGTCAGCCTACCACTCCTTATTGCTTTATACAGTGTTGGCCAAAAGTATGGAAACCACCTAAAATTGGTATAACACTTTGGTCCTGCACAAATTATTAGAGATCTAAAGGTGCTTTTAAAAACTTTAGTTCTTTTCTCAGTTGACGTGTTTTGGCGATTTTTTTAAATTTTATAGTGCACGATTTCTGTAGAAATGGTCACTTTTGCCATATTCAAAATTTTATATCTGGAATATCAAATATTGTTTAATTTTCAAGAGGTATATAATTTTTACGGCTCGTTCGAATGGTACCAGTAATTTATACCTAAAAGTACACGGAAAAAAGTTTTTTCCTTAGTCTTTTTCAAACGTGACAAAAAGTCACTTATTTATATAAAAAAAAAAACGCAGAAACACGTTAACTGAGAATACACCATTAGATATTTATTAATTGGTGCAGGATCAAATTTTTATAAAATTTTAGGTAGTTTCTGTACTTTTGGAAACCACTGTGGTTCAGTTTTAAAAGAGGGTGAAGTTTGGAATTCAACCAATTTAGAAATGTGTTTGTTTTTAGATTTGGAAGATAACTGTATTCGTTTGACCTACGGCGAATTGTTTCAAACATTTCAAAGCTTCCCCGAAAAAAGTTTGGACACAAAACTGAAAAGGCTCAAGTTAAATATCTTAGAGCAAACAGGTCGTGATACCTTTCCTGATGATGAAAAGAAAAACTTGTCTCGGTATATTTCTTGTCTATAATCCAGATTGCTTGAAGTTAGTCGAAGCAAAGTGTTATTTTTTAAAAAATATTCAAATTGGCTCAACCAAAGCATAACATTTTCAAAAAAACGGACATTAAAACGACCTGCTGGGTGACCAAAATCCGATTTTAATAGCAGTAGGGAAAAGATTAAAAAGGCGGTGTAGTAGAAGTTGTTGTAAATTCTGACACTGAAGTGGAGGTCTCATACAGTCACTGTTGGATCACACCAGTAAAAAGTTTCTGATTCTTTAATGTAGGTTAGATACTAAAAGTATGTAAATAGAATTATTTTTAGTATGTAAGTGGGGGTGTAATGGTTCGTCAGGACAATCAGAATACAAACAAAAATTTGAATCGGCAAACTGTTCAGATGCTAGTGTTTTCTTAGTATCTTTAGTTCCCTTAAGGCTTTAAATAAAAAATAATGGCAGCCAAATCATAATTTGCCTAAATTTAAGAACATCTACCCTAGATTTTGTCGTCCAATAAAACTGTTGTTCAAAAAAGAAACCACTTAGCTAACCATGCATTATTTAAACAATAAGGTATACAGAGTAAATTTTAAAATGCACTTTACCATGATCGACCTAAAGGTAGCAAACGCTTTAACTGCCAATAAGTCCTCCCAAACATGTTATTTTTGCGGGGCATCTTTCAAAAATTTTAATGACATAAGCCAAGTTGTTACTAGACCTATTGTTGCTAATCATTTAGCATAGTATGGACTATCCACGTTACATGCCTGGATTCGTTATTTTGAAAACCTATGGCACGCGGCTTATAAAATAGACATTCAAAAATGGCAGGCTAGAAGCCCTGAAAACAAGCAATCTGTGGCCGAGACAAAAAAACGAATTCAGACATTGTTGCTTTCAAGCTTAGGTCTGATTGTCGATAAACCTTAGACAGGATTTGAAAGTTCCAATGATTGGAATACTGCAAGAAGATTTTTTGACAACGCAAAAAATGTTTCAAAAATTACAAAAGTTGATCTCTGTTTAATTAAAAAATTTCATATAATTTTACAGACTTTATCGTCCGGTTATGACATAAATGCTGAAAAATTTAAAACTTTTTGCTTAGACACAGCTCAGTTGTTTGTTTAATTATACCGATGGTATCCAATGCCCACCATAAGGTATTGATTCATGGTGCAGAAATCATTCAACATTTTTTGATACCCATAGGTCAGCTATCTATAGAAGCACAGGAGGCGAGAAATATGGATATAAAGAAGTTTCGTGAACAGTTTTCGAGAAAATCTGCAAAAACAAACAGTTTAGAGGACATCTTTAAACGCCTCCTTGTTTCTTAAGATCCATATATATCTGGTTTGCGAAAATTGCCCCGCAAAGGCAACGAAGCTCTTTCACCGCAGGCCCTTGTGTTGCTTGTATCCCCCAAAAATTAATAAAAGCCAAACCGTTTCTGACAGTTCGGATTCAGAGTAGATTTAAATAGGTAATTTTGCATATTTATAATTAATTTTTGGTTAATTTGTTACTTTTATAAATGTCAATAAAATTATACAGGGATTTCATTTCAAAACTAGCCACCCAAAATATCTTTAAAACTAAAACAAAAAACACGTTAATTTATATTTACGGGGGACACATGTGATAGCTCTTCTTAAAGGTCTCTTTTTTTCCAATCTTCTGACACATTATTTTTTTAAATCGGTTTAATTTTTCACCAAGTTATAACCTAGAAACCGGAAAAAATATTGAATTAAAATGCATGAGTATAAATACCGAGATAAACAAGTTAGCAAAAAGCCTTAAATGTTTTTTGCGTAAGATATTTTTGACCTTAAATTAAAATAATTTATTATTGGTAGATTATTGGTTTCGTTGTGTACTGACAATTTAATTTTGACAATGGTTTATTCTTTACAAGAAATAATTAAAATAATCTTTATTTATGGTGAAGAACAACGCTGTGCACGCAGAACTGCTCGTGTTTTTAATAGAGACATCCCGATAAAAATGTTGGGCAACAGTATGTGTTGGATTTAGTTAATAAATTTCAAGAAACTGGAAGTGTGTGCAATAAAACTGTGAGGAATCGAGTTTTAACTGAAGCTGCACAAGTTGAGATTTTAGGTCATTTTGCCATGGAACCTCAAACATCAATACCAAAAGTCTCCAGATTAACAAATATTTCCGTTGGCTCTGTGCATAAAACGTTACGGCTAAATAAATTATTTTACAAAATACAGCTTTTACAAGAGCTTGCTGAGGATGATTATGACAGAAGATTAGAATTTTGCGAATTAATGACTCAAAGAGCAAATGAAGACCATAATTTTATTAAAAATATTTGTTTTACTGACGAGGCAGGTTTCTTTTAAAATGGATTTGTCAATAAACATAATTGTAGGTACTGGGACAATACAAATCCACATGTTTTTCGGGAAGAGCACAGCCAATATCCTCAGAAAATCAACGCATGGGTCGGAATTCTTGGTAATAAAATTATTGGTCCTATTTTCATGGAGGAAAATTAAACTGGGGAATAGTATTTGAACTTATTAGAAAATCTGATAAATCCACTTATAACCGAATCCTTAGAAAACCAAATAGATCAAGATGGAAATTTGTTACTAGACGAAGAAAACTTATTTTTTCCTTGCCTGTACGAAATTGTCTTAATGAGACATTTCAAGATAAATGGATCGGAAGAAGGGGCGCTATAGAATGGCCAGCGAGATCACCCGACCTAACGCCCTTTGACTTTTTTTTATGGGGACATCTAAAAACTGTGGTGTATAAAACTCAACCTCGCGATATTCCTGAACTTAGACGTAGAATAGTGGAGGAGTGTGAGCGGATTACACCAGAGACGCTTCAAAAAGTGCGGGATGAATTCGAGCCGCGACTTTACCATTGCCTTGCCAACAATGGCGGACATTTTGAACTTCTTATTTAAGTATAATGTAATTCTTACGCAAATAAAATATTAATAATGTAAATACAATGTAAATAATAATTATTTTAATTTAAAAGGTTAAAATGGCATAACTTGGTGAAAAATTAATCCGATTTAAAAAAATAATGTGTCAAAAGATTGGAAAAAAGAGACCTTTAAGAAGAGCTATCACATGATACCCCTTTCTATTTAAAATTTTAGAAGTGATATTCACCACCGCTTAGGAGATGAAACTGCACGGTTACAGATACTTGTAAAATGTGTCCGCCCGTAAATATAAATTAATGTGTTTTTTGTTTTTTTTTTTGTTTTAAAGATATTTTAAAAGTTATTTTGGGTGGCTAGTTTTGAAATGAAATCCCTGTATGTATAATAAATAAAATAAATAAATAAAAATGTCTTTATTGAACAAATGTACAACATTTGCACCAGATAGGCGAAGA